AAGTGACTGCCCGGAGAAGCGGGAGTTTGGCCAAGGTCACCCTGGGCAGTGCGAGTAGGCCTCTGACTCAGCCCTGCTTTCTCCATTAGGCCAAGGCCACTAGGCAGGTGTTGGCCCTAGGGAGCACCAGACGAGCAGGCGGTCACATCACGTCTGAACTGGGGCGGCCGACCATTTACAGCCCCATGTGACCGACCATTGAAGAGGACCGGTTTTTCCCCTGAGTTAGAGGTTCTGTTTTTGTTTGTTTACTCTTTCTGTCCTATCATCAGTCTCACGCAGGAGTTTTAGCTGCAAAGGTCTCAAACAAGTGTTAGGAAAAGAATTGTTGAAGAGCAAAGCCTGCTGTTTTTACTTTTTGTTGTTTTTTGTTTTTTTCTTTCTCGTGTTTTTTCCCTTTTGTCCTGATCCTTCTTTCACAACATGACTAATGTGGAAATATGTTTAACATGATTGTACATGTATTTTAACAAAAGGAAAGGAAAGGACTGCTGAAAATTGCAATCATGAAGGAAAGATCATCTTTTTTAAGAATAACAGCTAGCAGTCTGTTCAAGTAAATTCTGAAATTACAGTGGACTTCGGTCTGTGTTAAATGCTGTTGAATGCTGTTAACTCTGCTCTCCTGAATTACATAATACACTGATTCATGGCAGAGAGATTCAAAAGAGTTCCTTGCCAGATCTCTATGGAAAAGAATTTTTCTAAAGGGAGTGTGTTTCCCACTGATCTCATATGTTTCCATCAAAATCTCACTACCATTTCTCTCCATGCCAGGACTTCCTTTTTTTTTAAAAAATATATAAAAGTTTATTTTGACTTGTGTTGAAAGCTGGTGGTGGTGGTTATTATTCTGTAGTTTTTTAGTCACGTTCAATTCTTCATGACACCATTTGGGGTTTTCTTGGCAGAGATGCTGGAGTGATTCACCTTTTCCTTCTCCCGCTCATTTTACAGATGAGGAAACTGAGACAAATAGGATTAAGTGACTTGCCCAGGGTCACACAGCTAAGAAGCATCTGAGGCTGGATTTGAACTCAGGAAGATGAGTCTTTGAGACTTCAGACCTGGCGCTGTGCCACATAGCAGCATGTGTTGAAAAACTATGAGTGTTCAAATAAATGACCAAGAGTATGAAAAAGAAAATAAGAAAAATGAGAGTTTAGATGATGGTACACATGTCCAATCCAAACTAACAGGGACTGCGTCGATTAAGCACCTGCTCTGTGAGAAGCCGTACACCACGCACTGGAGTGACACAATTTAAATTCAATTAGTCTCTGACTCCAAGGACGTTGCATCACACTGCGGGGTGTAGCATGGAGGCCGACAAGTATCCACAGGATTATTTGAGGAAGATAGGCTATCGATGGCTTGGGGCCTCAGCATGGAAGGGGCCACCTGAGCTGAGCCTTGAAAACCATGAGACGTCATCTTGGCCATAGGGAACGGCTTGCCTAAAGTGCAGACTTTGTGAAGGGGAGGAATGTGGCTGTGAGCTCCAAGAAGATGAGGAGCCACGTGAGGCTCCTGAGCTGGGGGATGGCAGGCTCAGATACTCTTGGAGAATATTATCATGGCAGCTAGGTAGGGGATGGATCGGAATGAGAGAGGAGGCCTCCTAGGGGCAGTCTTTCAACCCTTCCCTCAAGACGGGCCAAGGGCCTGGCCATGGGTAGGGGGTCTTAGGAGCACAGAGAAGAGTTCCTCAGTCCCTCTCGATTCTATGCCTTCTCTCTCTTGATTATTTCCAATTTATCCTGTTCCTGCAGTGGTCCTCATGTTGCCTTTCCCTGAGAGCAGAAACTGTTTTGACCTTTCTTTGTATTCTCAGCGCTTAGCACAATAAACACTTAATCATGTTGATTGACTGACAGATGGAGGAGACATGGTAGAGAGAGAATCAACTGTATTATAGCTTCTATTATTTGCCAATTGTTAATCCCACCCCAATATATGTTACATGTATGTAATGTGATATAATATGCATTTTCACATAGACTCATGTCATCCCAGTTTCCTCCATTTTTTACCCATGTGTATACCGTGACTTTGTGGCTGCTATCACTGGTTTTACTTCTTACAGTCAGTTCATTTGGTCTGTCTTTGTCACCCTCAGCACTTAACACAGTGCCTAGCACATAGTAGGTGCTTAATGAATCTTAGTGGACTGGCTGACTTTACCTCTTCCCAGATGTCTCCGAACTCTTTGATCTTTGTTACTCCATAATATGCAGATTTTATTCCTTTGGAAGGATTAGCGCCTCGTTTCACCAAGCGTTTATTCGGTACCTTCCGAGTGCCATGTACTGTGCTAGGCCAGTAGGATTCAGCCTAAAATGAAAGTCCCTGCTTTCAAAGAGCTTACATTTCATTTCTGGGAAATAACAAGACTTTCTGAAAGGCAGTAATTAGGGCTATGAAGCAGCCCAGAAACATTTAAAGCATGTTTTAAACAGTGTAATTATTCCTGCCTAACACATAGTAAGCACTTAATAAATGCTTGTTGACTTAACGGAAACAGTTGATATCTGGTTAAAAGTGTTACTGTATTTAGCCTAAATATATAATTTTTTCCAAAAGTTTTGGTGATATGTATTAATTTGTTCAACAAAAATTAACCAACTGCTTATTCTATGCCAGGTAATACTGGGCACTGGGAATAGAAAAAGCAAAATGATACAATCCCTGACCTCAAGAAGCTTAGATTCTACTTTGAGGGGTATGGCATATACTGAAAGGATTATGATAAAAGGTGGTCAGAGGAGATATTAGGAAAAAGTGCTCTGGGAAAATTTGAGGATGGAGGAGCCTTTCGTGTGGAGGGACCAGGGAAGGGTATCACAGAAAAGATGGCATCTGAATGAGGAGGTTTCTGAAAAGTGGAGATGAGGAAGAGACCTTAGTCCAGGCATGACAGAGTTGATGTGATGAATTGTGGGCCAGTTGGCTCACCTGATTGGTTAGAACATAGGCTGTGTGAAGGAGAATTATGTGAAATAAGGCTGAGCTAGAGACAGATTGTGTGGGGCCTTCATTGTCAGGCTGAGGTGATGGTATTCTCCTTTAGAGGTAAGAGGGAGCCAAGAAAGTTTATGAGAAAAGGTGTGACGTGGTCAGAAGCTAAGATTTAGGAACATAATTTGACCATCTTTGTGAAGGATGAACTGAAGAGGGGAGAGAGTGGGATCAAGGATAGCATAGTCCATGAGAGAATCAGGTCAAATCATAAGCATGCCTAATAATAACAATTGTTATTATTATAGCTAATGTTTACATGGGCCTTCCAAGATTTGCAGAACATGATAAATATCATCTCATTTTAATCCTCACAACCCTGACTAGGAGGTGCTGTTATTATCCACATTTTACATGTGAGGAGACTGAGGCAGATAGAGATGAAATGCCTTGCCCAAGGTCACCCGGCTAGTAAGTGTCTGAGGCCAGATTTGAACTCAAGGTCTTCATGACTCCAAGTCCGGGGCTCTGTTCACTGTGCCTAGTGCTGGCAATGCAAAGAAAGACAAAAAACAGTCTCTGTGCTTTCAAGGAGTTCCCATTTTAACGGGGGAGACACCATGCAAACAACTTTGTAAGAGAGACGGCACCATCATTAAGATGGGGAGATACTGGGAGGGCCTCCTTCAGGGTGATAGCCAAGTGAATTTAGAGAACGGGACAGAGGCAACAGATATTATGGAAGGAAACTTGACCAGACCTGGCAACTCATTGGATGTGAGAGGTGAGAAAGAGGGAAGCTCTTGGGCTGACTCCACGGTTAGAAACATGGTGCCCAAGAGGATGGCGGTGCGGTCCACAGAAACAGGGAGGCCCACATTAGGAGCCTCCAACGGAAAGGTGGTGAACTTCATTTCCCAGGAAGTCCAAGAACTCCGCCTCCCTGGGTGCTTTTGTGCTTATGAGTGATCTTTTGGCTTTTTTTTTCCCACCTGTTTCTGGGCCTGGAGCCCTTCTGAACACTCAAGAATGCTAAAGACCAGTCTCTGGGTGTTGGAAATTTTGTTGTTTTTAACTTAACGTTGTTTACTTTAGTCAACATTGATGAAGAGCAACTGTATTGGTCCCCAATGTGAGTTTACTATCCTCCTCTTATCAGTCATCAACAAGTCATGCTGTACAAAGCCTAGCTTGGAAAATAGAAATTACTTGGCAAACAAAGGCCTGTGACTCAGGATGGTTATGAAGCCTGGGCAGCACACTCATCCAGGGAAGGAAGACTGGGCTGACCAAGGCTTCCTCCAAAATAGGCATCTTGGGAGACCAGAAGTTCAGCCACTGGAACTTCTTGATTTTGCCAACTATGCGTTTTGTGATGTACAAAAATTCTGTGTTGAAAGCTGCTCTCGAATTATATTTTCTTTTAAACTATTAATTGCAAGAACAAAAGAATTGTCATTTTCTATAGTTTGTCATTAATATTCATGAGTCCTTTGATGATTAGAATGTCTAAATGTACAAAGCTATACTAGATGTGAAGAGATGGCTACAGAAGACATCCCTTGACATTTTTTTCTATATAACTCAAGATTTTAGGAACATTGTATTTTTTTAGAGTTGAAAGGCACCTTCATGGGTATCAGACCTAACCTCCTCTTTTACAGATGAGGAAACTGAGTATCCAGAGAGATTACATGATTTGGCCAAAGGTAACAAGTGTCAAGGTCTGGATTTGAACCCAGGAGCTCTTACTTACTCCATTCCAATGTATTAGACATTGAGTTTGACTTTTTTTTAATTGATTCTTCCATACTAGTCATATTAGTAAGTATTATACTGGGAATGAATAATTGAACCCCAGGGAGAATCCTAAAACCCTTGTAACTTTTTAGCAAGGCCTTATAATGGTTTCATTTAATAATATTTAATAGTATTTTGTCTGTTAGGAGAGATGCGAACATTTGTTAAACCTGAGATGTCTGTTGAATTGCTTTAGTAATAATATGTATTCGTTTACAGCAACTTTACATTTTTTTCCCTAGGTTACGTTTCGGACAAGAATCTATCACTGTAATATTAACAGCCAAGGAGTGATCTGTCTGGACATTCTAAAGGATAACTGGAGTCCAGCCCTCACCATTTCTAAGGTTCTTCTCTCCATCTGCTCACTTCTCACAGATTGCAACCCTGGTAAGAGGCAATACGACGTTGATCTAGACTCTAGACAAGTGGGTTGGCCAGCCCTTGACAGTCTGGTCCACTGCTTTCCTTTTCTTCTTGTGAATCATTTTAAATCTCCGTAGTATGTTTCCTGCCCTCTCCTAAATTCTATCAGTTCATTAAACTCTTCATGGTTTATTTCTTACTGTGTGTATTGGGGGAAGGGAGGGAGACGGGAACAGGAATGGACTGGGGAAGAGCATTTATTATATAAATTAAAGAAAAATTCCTCCAGAAGGGAATGTGCATTTAAGGACTACATGATAAGAATACATTAACTGCTACAGCCAAATAATGATAAAAATTCAAATTGAAGAGCTTAAGCCTTAATTATATACCTAGGAGAAGATACTAATTTCAGAAATGTAGGCTATTACAGTGTGATACAATCAAACAGCAGCAGAGACTGAACCCTCCCGAATCCTCCCAGTGTCTGAAGAACTGTCTGACCCAAACAAACAAGGGCGGGGGGGGGGAACCCCACCAACTGGCTTCTCTGGATTGGGAAAGGCTGAAAAGGACAAATAAGGAAGAGCAGCTGCCTGGGAAATTCAGAGGCAATTCCCAGTGCCATCTGGCTTTCAGGCTACTCCCCAGATCACCTGTTCACAACTCACTGGCTTCAGAGTAGTATTCCTTGTCTTTTACCTTCTCATAATTAAAGGACACACCTGCCAGTCTGTTTTCCCATTGTTCAGTTCTGCTTAGGAAGCTGCGGGATCTGAAAGAGCATTTCTAGTCAGGGGTGTGCCGAGGCCAGTTCAAACCAGCTTGTGAGGGCTGCTGATCAGATTTTCATCATGGAGTATTTACTTTGCTCAGAAAAAAGCAAATGCTACAAATAAGGACTTCGTGTGTTGTTTTGCTGATCATCTTCACTAAGAGATTGATGGAGAAGATGTTAATAATGCCTGTTAACTCATAAGTGAGTTGTGGGCACATTTTTTTTTCCTTCTGGAGAGCCAGTTGTTAAACATTTGCCAGCAACCCCCCAGCTGTTGTAGGTTCTTAGAGATTTCTTGAGTGATTCAGCAATGACATAGGCAATGTCGGGAGATAGCAAACTCCCTTTTGTCGACAATACTATCCCTGGTTGGGTGTGGTATACAGGGGATACTTGTTAGGACTGAAGTGATCTGTGGTCTCTGAGTCTGACCAATTCTGAACCTTGATGCTGTTCACTTGGTGTTTTAGAAAGCAGTAGGGGTAGAAACTGGGTCTCTGGCTTCACTGCTATAGGGCAGTGCTGCCAGATTCATAGAAACGGATCCCTGTGACCACACATTGATACAGAAAACCACAAATTCACGTTATCTTTGTTTATAATCGTTTTATTTCTTTCGTTAAACATTTCCCAGTTACATTTTAAACTGATTCTGACGGACCCACTCAGGACTTTTGTATGCTGTGGGCCACTAGTAATAGCTGTAATAATAATAGCTAACATTCATATAGTGGCTACTATGTGCCCGGCACTGTGCTAAGCATATCACTGTTATTATCCCCTTTGATTCTCACAACCACTCTGGGAGGTAGGTGCTATTATTATCCCCATTTTGCAGATGAGGAAACTGAGGCAGATAGGTTAAATGACTTGCCCAGGGTTATACAGCTAGTAAGTGTCTGAGGCTGGATTTGAACTCTGGTTTTCCAGACTCCGGACCCAGTGCTCTGTGCCCTGTGGTACCACCTAGCTGCCTAAAATAGCAAGGAGAAACTTCTATTTAGCCCCTGTCCAGAATCCCACAAATTTAAATTTAATGGATTCTGAATTCATAGGGTTTTACTGATGCTAAAGAATGAAAAATATGCTGAGACCAGCAGCTCTCAGAGCTCCACAATTTACTCAGCTTTGGCTTCTGTTTTAAAGGCAAAAATCCTCACACTTTGATCATTTGGCAAAGATTCCCTGATCTCAAATTGCCCGGCTGCTGCTATTTTTGTATCCAGTGCAATTTTGACAATTTTCCTTGGCCTCTTTCCATAACTCTTCTCTCTATACCATGAAGTCTTTTTTTTAAAATAATTTTTATTTTGTTAAATATTTCCCAATACATGTAAAAACATTTTTAACAATCATTTTTTAAAATTCCAAATTCTTTCCCTTTCTCCTTTAGGTCAAAGGATGTGTACAGTTTTATAGCCCTTTGGGCATAGTTACAAATTGTTCTCCAAAATGGTTGGACAACTTTACAACTTCATCGACAGTGCATTAGTGTCCTAATTTTTCCACATCCTCTCCAGCATTTGTCATTTTCCTTTTCTGTTATGTTAGCCAGCCTGCTAGGTGTGAGGTGGTATCTCAGAGTTGTTTTAACTTGCATTTCTCTGGAGCATTTTTTCATGTACCTATTGTTAGCTTTGATTTCTTCTTCTGGAAACTGCCTATTTATAGCATTTGACCAGTTGTCGACGGGGGAATGACTCTTATTTTTATGAATTTGGCTCAGTTCCCTATATTTTGAAAAATGAGGCTTTGATCAGAGAAACTTGCTGCAAAAAATGTTTTCCCAGTTTCCTGTTTTCCTTCTAATTTTGCAGCATTAATTTTGTTTGTGCAAAAGCTTTTTAATTTCAGTTAATCAAAATTCTCTATTTTATTTCTGTTTATAGTTTAAACCAGTTTTTTAGTTGATTTTCTAGAGTCCTCTAAGTATACCATCAGATAGTCTGCAAAGAGTGATAGTTCTGTTAGCTCATTGCGTGTTCTGATACATCCAATCTCTTTTTCTTATCTTATTGCTATAGCTAACCATTTCTAGGACGATACTGAATAATAGCAGTGATGATGGACGTCTGTGCTTCACTTTTGACCTTGTTGGAAAGGCTTTAAGTTTATACCTATTACAGACAATGCTTGCTTTTGGTTTTAGATGAATGCTGCTTATTTTAGGAAAGTCTCCATTTCTTCCTGTGCTTTTGAGTGTTTTTCATAGGAATGGTTGTTATGTTTTGTCAAAGGCTTTTTTCTCCGTCTATTGACATGATCATTTGAGTTTTATTTTCTTTGTTACTGATCTGGCCAATTATGCTGATGATTTTCCTAATATGGAAGCAGCCCTGATAGAAATCTCACTTGGTTATAGTGGATGATCCTTGTGATATACTGCTATAATCTCCTTGCTAGTATTTTATCTAAAAATTATGCATTGATATTCATTAAGGAAATTTCTCTGTAATTTTCTTTATCTGTTTTTGCTGTCCCTGGTTTAGATATCAAAACCATATTTATGTCACAAAAGGAAATGAGTAGGACTTCTTTACTTATTTTTTCAAATAATTTATTTGGGATTCATTGTTTCTTAAATGTTTAGTAGAATGCACTTATTAATCCATCTGGTCCTGGGGATTTTTCCTTAGGGAGCTCATGGATGGTTTGTTCAATTTCTTTTTCAAAGATAGGATTATTTAAGTATTCTATTTCATCTTCTGTTAATCTCAGCAATTTATGTTTTTGTAAATATTCATTTCATTTAGATCGTCAGTTTTTACGGGCATATAATTGGGCAAAATAACTCCTAAAAATTGCTTTAATTTCATCTTCATTGATGATGCATTCATCCTTTTCATGTTTAATTCTAGTAAGTTGGTTTCCTTCTTTCTTTTTTAAATAGAATTATCTAATGGTTTATTTTATTGTTTTTTTTTCATAAAACCAGCTCCTTGTTTTATTTATTAGTTCAGTGGTTTTTACTTTTATTAATTTATCCTTTGATTTTATTAATTTTATTCACTTTCAGTTTTATTAATTTCTCCTTGATTTTCAGGATTTTTAATTTGTTATTTTTCTAGTTTGTTTTTTTTTCTAGTTCGCAGCCAGTTTCTTGGTCTGCTGTTTTCTCTCTTTTATCGATACATGCAAATTTCCCCCTAAGTACTGCTTTGGTTGCATCTTACAAATTTTAGAATGTTGTCTAATTGTTTTTCTCTTTAATAAAATTACGATTGTTTCTATGATTTGTTCTTTGACTCACTCTGATTAGATTAGTTTCCAAATAGCTTTTAATATATGTTTCCATAGCCTTTTATTAAATGTAATTTTTATTGCATTGTGGTCTGAAAAGGGAGCATTTAATATTTCTGCTTTTTTGCATTTGGTTGTGAGGTTCTTATGTCTTAATACATGGCCAATTTCTGTGAAAGTTCAGTGTATAGCTAAGAATAAGATATACTTCTTTCTGTTCCCATTCAGTTTCCTCCAGAGTTCTATTGTGTCTAACTTTTCTAAGATTCAGTTCATTTCCTTGTCTTCTTTTGTATTTATTTCGTGGTTAGATTTAGCTCTGAGAGGAGAAAGTAGAGGTCCCCCACTTCTGTTGTCTATTTCCTCTTGTAATTCATTTAACTTTTCCTTTAAGAATTTGGGTGCTATGCCATTTGGTGCATATGTGTTTTGTATTGGTATTACCTCATTGTCTTTGGTTCCTTTTAGCAAAATGTCATTTCCCTGCTTATCCCTTTTAATTGGGTCTATTTTTGCTTTTGCTTTGTCTGAGATCATGATTGCTACCCCCTGCCTTTTTACATCAGATGAAGCATAATAAAGTCTGCTCTAGTCCCTTATTTTAATTCTGTGTATGTTCCTCTGTTTCAAGTGTGTTTGTTATAAACAACATATTGTTGAATTGTAGTTTCTAATCCATTCTGTTATCTGCTTCTGTTTTAGGGGTGAATTCATCCCATTCACATTCACAGTTATGATTACTAACTATGCATTTCCCTCCATCCTTCTATTTATCCTTCTCTTTCTCTTTTTATCCTGTCACTCCTCTAAAGTCTGTTTTGCTTCTAACCACGGTTTTCTATCTGCCCTCCCTTTTTTCACACACACACACACACACACACACACACACACACACACACACACACACACACACACACACACTCTGTTTCTCTTATCCCCTTCCCTCCTACTTCCCTATTGGGTAAGATGGATATCTATTACCAATTGAGTATATACATATATGTGT